CCGGCCGGCAGACCGGACCGCGATGACGAGCCCCACGCCGTCTTCTTCCCCTTCGCCGCCGCCGCCGCCTTCTTCGCGCACTTTAGCGCTCGGTCTTCTCCTTCACCATTGCTTGGAGCTTGGGAAGGTTGAGGAGAGGCGTGGGGAATAGAGAAAAAGGAGGCGGAGAAGAAGAGGGAATGGGGATTGATTGAAGGCACTGTACCTCGCGTCGGCTCCAACGCCTTTTATAAGGCTGGCTCCGAGTTGCTGACCAGTGGCCCCAGGCGATCAAATCATATCCCATCGCAGGCGCAAGCTCGATACGTGGCGAAAAAGGTGGCGCAAAAGTCGAGGAGTCCCAATCCAATCCGTTCCACTTACTGCGCCACGCTCTGTCCGGCGTGCTTCTCTGAAATTTTGAATCCCGTGAAATCCGGAAACCGCAGGGCAATCAACCGCGTCTAAGATTTCGCGTCCTAATTCACTCGAAGGCTTACCACATTTATTCACTCGACAACTTCAAGCTATCAGAATCGATCGAGCCAACTGAAGCAAGATTGAAAGTACCAGTGTACTTCCCAGACTTCAATGAGATGCCTCCAGAGCATTGAATTGAGTCAGAGTCAACTTCAACCTTTCTCCACTCGGACCTCAATCCATTCGGGGGCTAATGACGAGGACATGTTCTTAGGGTAGGGTCTTAGGCCTGACCTAGACACCCCACCCAAGGACACTGACCTACAGCCAAACGCATTCACGGACCAACAGGGAATACCGACTGAATCACCCCGAAGAGCGATTCACTCGACAGAAGACTCCACTCGGATACCCCAATTTCACTCGACCACAGCATAATCACTCTACCATATGAAGAACCACTAGGCGTATAGAAGATCTAAAGCCACCCCAGGATGGCAACGGTCAGGCGTTCACTCTGTAGTCTTAAAGATCATTTATGGATGGCATTACCAGTAACGCCCCATCTTAACTCACATTGAACCCTGTGTAACGGAGGTTTGAGAGGGTCCTGGCGCACTCTATATAAGCCACCCTCCTCCTCTGGCACAAGGGTTTGCACCCCTTGTAACATTCACGCATAATCCAGTCGACACAGCCTCAGGGCACCGAGACGTGGGGCTTTTACCTCCTCCGAGAGGGGCTTGAACTCGTAAAACTTGTGTTTACAACCTCACCATAGCTAGGACCTTGCCTTCTCCTACGTACCCCCTATTCTTACTGTCAGACTTACACCCACGACAATGACCAACTTCATTCCTCTTTCCTCCATTGATTGAAAGCTTCAACCTTCGATTACTTCCTCTCTAGCCAATCAATACACACACCACATTCAGAGAGATAAGGAGGAACACCCAATCTACCAATCCATCCAAGAAAAACTCGATTTTGTTGATTCGCCGCAAGATCCTCGCGAATCTTGTTAACCCTAGTGGAAGGGAGCCAAAGCATTCGTTGCTTGTGGTTCTTAGAGAAGAATGTGAGGCATTCATTGTTTCCCCCTCCCCAACGAACATTAGCAACCCCCCAAGTGTGTGAATTTCAAATTACACCATTGTCTCCACCACTTTTCGTCGTCTCTTTACCCTACCTTTTGTTTCCACTTGCTTGTGTGTTGCCCTAGCTTACTAGCTTGTTTGTAACGCATCATATAGGGTTGTATCACCTAGTTGCATTTCTAGTGAACTTATATTTCCGCACTTTTCTCTAAAAAGCAACCAAGAAAAGAATTCAATTTGGTAGCTGCCTATTCACTCCCCATCTAGGCGGCATTATTGGCATCTTTGATGCTTCATTGGGTATGCCAAGATGTTGTCCTAAAGATCATCTTTAAAAGAACACACCTATATAAGTTAGACTATTAAACGTCACAGTTTATGAGAGTCGTGTGCTCTCTAGTAAACTCATGAAGAGTCCCCGGAGTATAATATAAGCCCCTACCCATGGGAAAGTCATTCAGCAGCCTAGTATCAGTGAAGATTTCACGTGAAACTTTTTTGCACAAAACTTGCAACTCAAGGCGTAATCCATTGTTCAAGTTGTGAATGGATGTAGCGTGGAGTTTTAGGTTGAAGTTTAACTTAACAGTCTCCACCAAAATACTGGTATATAAACAATGCTTTGGAACCATATGCAAACTCTGTGTGCCGCTTGTATCTTCTAGGGGATTGGTAGAATGATTGGGGTTAGCCTGCTTATTATTACCAATAATTCATGAAAAATTCAGAAGTCCATGTGGCCCATTCATGCATTACAAGGGAGCGTAGAAAGCTTAGGGATTGTTGGTTGCTGCCCACATTCACCCAGCCAAATTGTGGGCAGAGCAAACAATTGGCGACTGATTCATCCGCCCTAGTTTTGCCAACATTTTGGCATGAAATTAGATGGAAGGAGTGCATATGATTGGGCGTGCCAAAAAATTGGAGTCGATCCAAACAGACGCTCACATTTGAGTCAACGCCTTTATGTTGGCTTGACAAGTGTGGGCTACGATCCAAACAACCCCTTAGTCCCACCCAGATTGTGGAAGAGGCTTTGGACCAATATGTAAGGTTGGCTGGCTCACACACTATTAAAAGCTTAAGAAGAGGACACATAGACGTGCGTTTGTCCGCCTCCGGCCTTGCCACGCCTCGCACGCGCGTCATGTTTAGTGAACGAGCTGAGCCGGTTTAGGACCTTTGCACGTGTGCATGCTGGACTCGTTTTTCAAGCAAGTAAGAAACCGAAACGTTTTTCCGCTAGTGGAAAACCAAACCAAAGTGTTGTGACTGCTTCCATTCATCCCCGTTAGGCCTTGTACAATGCAAGGTGTTTAGGGAAGGTGTTTGAAGAAATAAACTAGACTTTTTTTAAGCGTCGGTGTTTATTTATACAGAGTAGACACTTAATTAGGCGTCTCTCCTATAAAAATAGGCACTGGTGCTTCAGAAAAATCCGGTTTATTTTTCTAAACGCCTCCCAACGCGACTATCTCCTAGTTTTAGGCTTTGCATTGCCTGCCGGTTCTCCATCTCGCTCCTCGCGTACACTGCAAAGTCAAGTAGCAGGTCTTCGAAACCTCGCCTCTTATGATTCTGTACGGGAGAGGGATGATCAGGTTTTGGAGAGCGCTGCATTAAATTATCATGTTCTATCTATTGTTTTTCTAAATTTAACTTGATGAAAAATTGCTCAATATTCAACACACCTGAAAGCACCAGTACGAGGTAGAAGTAGCAAGGAAAGCGTAGGGTTGGAGGCAGCACGGCGTCTCACTCGGATCCGTCAGTACGATGGTTTCTTCGTTGAGGCCGAGCGGCATCAGGACGCGCTTGTCGCACAGCGCCTCTTACGGGCTCAGGCTGTAGCAGGACCATCCACTGACGATTAGTTTCGTCAATGGATACGTGCTTCCGTTGATGTTTTGATCTCATCTGTAATGGGTTCTTTACAACCTAATTCTGCTCAGGTTATACGCGCAGATGGGCAGTTGCTACATCAGTAGTTAGGGCATGTACATTGGTTTAGACGCCTGCTGTCCATAATAAACCTCCACATCACCTATAGACAGCCGTGAAAACAACCTTTACAACGGGTTGTCTTTTAGGCTATCTGTAGCACCACAAAATTATCAAATTAAGTTGATCAGTAAACATTTACTCTAAACTTAATTATCTCCGGCTGCCCTGGACACGGCGTCCACTAGTCATCCGCTAGTCATCCGCGACGGAGACGACACCATTAATTATGGCAGTCCGGCTCGATGCTCATGAGCTCATCCCGGGGACACAAGTGATTGAGATAAACTCAGAAACTACCATAGTTGATAGGCACGCACACACATAGGCGAAGATCGATTGCTCCTGAACGCACTGATATGTGCAAGCTTTACGTAAGCTAGCTAGATAGATCACTATCGCTTGGTGGATCTACGATTGATTGACGACTCAGATCCGTACTCTAGCACCTCCTCCTCGCCGCCGGCTTGCAGAACTACGGTGGCTCGATTCCATCCAAGCAGCGCGGCAGCCGGTATGGAGGGTTGGAAGGCTAGATCCACAAATTAAGGAGTTCGTTGGAGACGGCCGCGATACAACGCTAGAAAGCCGTCGGTAGGGGCCGAAATTTTAGCGCTACAGACGATCTGCAATTCTACCGACGGGCTCCCTCTCTCTCTTCATTCTCTCTCTTCCACGTCATAAAAAGTCTGAGTTGGCGGCTCTTATAGACAGCTGAGTCATTACTGTTGTACATGCCCTTACTGTGAACTCCAGTGCATATTCCATACTCCATAGCTATTGGTTTTGACTCACAAGTGTCAGCACCACAAAACACGCAAATGTTGGGTAACTTATTTACCAACTAAAACCACGACACTTATTTTGAATCGGAAAGAGCATACTATAGTGCCTTTAACAACAGAATAAAATTTTAGAACAGGCGAGCACACCATTCTTTGTGACCAACAACTGTGAACGCAAGCATAATTTGGCGATCACAAGGCGCAACTGTAAATTCTGAACCCGGCATGAAAAACACGTGAGTTTTCCACCATATATAGCTTCCAAATCAACAAACAGAAATACCTCATCTGTATTATCTGTCACGCAGCTGAACAATACTTACTGCCCCATGGGCGAGGATCAGTAAAATGCATTGCATTCCACATCTCAGAATCATATTAGGTGCATCTGATATGATAGGTACTTTTACAAGCCAAAAAGGCCAAAAACAATATTCAGCCAGGGTACTTCCACATCTCAGTCTCCTCAAGAAAGAGTGCAACATGCTAGTAAAACATGTCGATGTGATAAGTAAACTAATAAGTAAACATGTCGATGTGATAAGTAAACTAACATGTCGATGAATGACCTTCATGGCCTCATTCCTACCTTCTCAGTTCACCCCAAAATTATGAAGAACTAATAAGTAAACTAGTACTACACCCTTAGCAGCTCAAAGTAAACATGTCGATGTGAAATAGCACCAGCATCAGTACCATGATCAAAAACAGAAACCTCTCATGCCATAACTCGAGAAGCGATCCAGCACTTGTCATGCCTCAACACACAGAAGGGATCCTCCACTGACAAGTCAATGGCGTTCTGAAAGGTCCAGCAAGGGGAGGCAACGTAAACATAAATAATATTACTGCCACTGCTTCCACCTGATGGCGCATTGCCCTCACCAACGGATCCTGACACAGGACCTCCCTCCATTACCACACCATCACTGCCACTACTTCCACCTGATGACACATTGCCCTCACCAGCAGAACCTGACATAGGGCCTCCCTCCACTACCACATCATCACTCTCAGCACAATCGATGCCCAGCGTCTTAAGCACCTTCGCCTTCTTCAGGATATAACAAAGAAACAAGTACTCACAGTCCAGACCCTGGTATCTATGGAAGACGAATGTCTTCAGATGAGATTCAAGGCAATCACAAGAGCCCAGGGACTTCCAGAACTCAGCAAAACCGACACTATCAGGTGAACTGGGTCGAATGGACTGGATAGCAAAAAAAAAAAAATGTTAGTGTTTAGCATATCAATCTTCAAATTACACCAAAAATACAACTAGAAGTGCTAGAACAGATATCTACAACATCAATCTGGAATATATAACAATGAACAACTAGCACTTGAATAAGCTGATATCCACATTATCATCTTGAATCGCAATCGATAAACAAGTATAGGGACGAACAGATATGCATATGATGCGTGTACTACCATGACATGAAGCGTTTCGAGGCGAGGAAAGCATCTGAGCAGAGTGTCCAGCATCTTGACCTCCATGTCGTGCGAAAACCGCACCTTGACAGCCAGCATCTTCAAACTTGGCAGCATGGCCCTAGCTCTCACATTCATACCGGCCTGCCATTGAGGCAAATTAAACACCATGAGAAATTTGATTGAATGCACAGTCATGTAATGAGTATTAAGTGCAGGTCACAGAAGTAACAAGACCCAGTTACCCTGATGACAACGCCACCAATCTCGAGCGCGTGGACCTGGAGGTCCAAGAAGCCGAGCACCTCCAGCCTAGGCGCATTGACAATCCTAACGGGCCTCCGATCGGAAATGCTATGGAAGAGCAGGCGCTCCAGGCAAGGTGCATCCTCGACGATGATTTCATTGAAACCGCATCTCCATTCCATCATGACGCAGAGGCTGCTGGACCTGATACGGAGGCGTGAACGGCAGCTGTACGCCATGGCAAAGGAGAGGATTCTCAGCTTGGAGCAGTGCGCGAGCAAGGCATCGACATCCCTGTCCTCGATGATGGAGTGAAAAAGGCCGAGCTCATGGAGGTTGGGAAATGCGGGCTGGTGGGCAGTAGTGTCTGGGAAGCGCCAGAAGCCGATGTAGAGGCGGGTGAGAGAGCCACAGCTGAGGATGTCGTCGGGGAGCGGCATGTCGAGCGGCCAGGGGCGGTTGAAGAGGATGAGGTCATGGACGTCCTTGGCGGCGAGGCTGGCGATCAGGCGCTCGAGCGCGTACTCCTGCCGGTGGAAGGAGGTGCGTGTGACGCGCACGGCACGGACGGGGCCGGGGTGAGCGGCCACGCAGCGCGAGAGGGCACGCACGGCGCTGAAACCGCGGGCCCTGATGTGGGCGTCGTCGACGAGGAGCGGGGTCGCCGCCCAGACGCCGCGCCAGCGGGTCGAGAGGACCATGGTGCGCGCGGCTTCGTTGGTGGGGAGGCAGGAGACGATGTTGGAGAGCAGGTCGTCCGGTAGGCGGCTGATGTGGTCCTGGCCGTCATCGTCAAGTGCCGCCGGATCGACAGCGGGCCCGTCGGCGGGGGCGGCGGTGTCGTCATCGGAGGAGGTGAGGGAGAAGTGGTCGTCGTCGGAGTCGGAGGACTCGTCGGCGTCGGCGTCGGGCGCGGGGACGAAGGGTGGGGGCAGGAGGGAGATGAGGTAGGGGACGATGCGATCGATGCGATCCTGCGCGGACGGCCCCTCCAGTGCCAGAATGTTGAAGTACGCCCCGATTTGGGCGTAGGTGACAAATACTTCTTCTCCTCCCCCTGCGGCGGCGTCCATGGCGGCGGATCCCGCTAGGGTTTTGTCGGCGGGCTGAACGAATGGGGACTGGCGTGGGGTGCCGTGGACCGTGGTGGACTGGTGATAGTGGGCTCTGGTCTGACTAGTGCTGTGATTTCTGAACTTGTGGGCCAAAATTTAAAATTCAAATTCATTCCATATTGCAGATCGATCAAACAGATATATTCAGCTGTGAACAGTTGTGACACAACTACTACTGACAGGTGAATTGATTTTTTTTCTTGTGTATGTCAAAGTCAGATTCATAATTCTTAGTGGTTCATAATAGTCTACTTGTCGCGCCACTTTGCGAACTAGAGGCCGCACTATAGGAAGCCACACTATGGGAAGGGAGTTTTTATTATGTTTGAGATGCTTTATACTTTCGGTAAATCTCTACTCCTAATGTCTGAGTTGGTGAATAATTTCCACGTTTTTTTCCGTTGGTTTTTTTCGTCTCTCCTCCCACCACCCCCTCCCACCGTGGTCCATCGGTTTATTTTTCTCTTCACTCTTCATTATAACCAGAACTTTCCTAACGTATAACAAATCACGAAATTTATTTTAGGAAACAAATAACAGATTTTCAGGAAACAAATAATAAATTTTAATCTAACTTTCCTAACTTATCCAAATCAATCGATTTCTCTCATTAGTGAATCTCTACTCCTAATGTCTGAGTTGATGAATAGTTTCCACAGTTTTTTTCACTGGGTTTTTTCGTCTCTCCTCCCACCACCCCCTCCCACCGTGGTCCATCGGTTTATTTTTCTCTTCACTCTTTATTACAACCAGAACTTTCCTAATGTATAACAAATCACGAAATTTGTTTTAGGAAACAAATAACAGATTTTCAGGAAACAAATAATAAATTTTAATCTAACTTTCCTAACTTATCCAAATCAATCGATTTCTCTCATTAGTGAAATTTGTTTTAGGAAACAAATAATAGATTTTTAGGAAACAAAGAACTGATTTTAAGGAAATAAACAAATAGCAGATTTGTGCTCCTACGGTGACCTCTGAGACTGCCGGCGTCGGCGCCATCACGAAGAGAAAACGGACGATCCCATCACGAAGAGAAAACGGACGATCCCATCACGAAGAGAAAACGGACGATCCCGTCGACGACCACACAGCGACGCCCCACTCGTGCGGAAAAAAACGGACCACGACCATGTAGGGACATCCCCTCGCACGAAAAAAGATCAAACGAACCAGGGAAACGAGGCCACCCCGCACGAAAAAATATCGGGTGAATGAGGCTCCCTCTCTCCATCCCTCGATCTCATCCTCCTGTCACTCGACCATATTTTTTCTAGGGTTCCCACCTCCGCCGCCCATCGTCTTCGCCCGCCCACTGCCGCCCCTCCCCTCGACCTGCCCCCGCCGGTGAGGCCTAACCAAACCTCGGGGTTCTCCTCCGCTGTTGTCACGAGTGGTCAAGGTCGACAAGGTGGTGATGAATCTGCACGCCAGCCTTCTTCCACTCCCATCCCCATCTTCCTCGGTACTCGATTTGGAACAACACCTGTGGAGTGCAGACGTGGCGAAGGGGACCTAGCGAGGTGTGCGTGTAAGAGGACCTGGTGTTCCCGGCTTCCCTGGTGGCGCGGTCCATGATAGGGCAAGACCTGGCGGTGGCCTTCTTCAGCAACTTCTTCGGCTCCGTTGGCCCTGACCTCCGCTTCGTCATTGACGATAGGTACGGCCATGACCCCTCCGCTGTTGACGTCACATGGCACCTCAAAACGCAAATTAAATTCATGTCATCTATTTGTCACCGTTGTACGTCAGGTAGAGCAGCTCTGCGGAAGCCGCCGGCCACCAGGATCAGCTACGTGAGCAGCTGCATCCATCCATCTTGCGAGTTAATTAGCATAAATAAATGCCCAACTGATTCCGTTACTTTGCAGATTCTGTAGTGCAGTATGTGTGAAGCAAGAAAGTTATGATCTGGTGACAGAAGTCCTTTGAACGTGGACAAATCGGTACCAAAATTGATTTGGTTCTTCCAATCTGTGTGTACAATGTTGTTTCTGAGGAGCGAGTAGGTGGAGCACATGAGTGACGTGATACGCCAAACTCTCACTAACTCTTAGCATCTCATAATGTGACGTCTATAGGAGATGGAGCAGCGCCTCCTTGATGCATGAGCCGATGCGGTCTGACTCAAGCCTGTGTGCATCTTGGTGAGAATCATTGGTCTGGTTTGACCATATTTTTGGACTGCATTTTGTGGTTGTGTGGGAAATTGTGTGCAGCGTAGGATCTGTACTGTACATGGATTGCAATTGCAGGACTGATGGTAAGGTTTGATCAATGAACATCAACACAATTTACCGTTTGATCTTGATTAAGCACGTGTGATGGCGTAGTCTCTCTCTGTGTCGCTGAAAGGCACTTGGTGGTGTGGGCGCACACAGAGATGGGTTTAGTAGGGGCCCTACGAGTGGGTAAGGGCGGGCGTGGAGATCACTATTCCCGTGTCAGCGAACATACTGCAAGCGTGTGTGACGAGGACGAACTTGGCAAATGCAATGGTGGGGTGTTATGACCAGCATATTAGGGGCTTAGCCCAGTGGGTTATGGCCCAAGTATCTTAATCATTATTAGGGGCTTAGCCCAATTATCTTATCGTATTAGGATCGTTTGCTTAGGAGTCAAGTAAACCTCTCTATATTAGGAGAGGAGATGTATCAATCTAATCAAGCAAGAAGCAATCAATATTTGCTCGGCTTCCCTTAGGGAGCCGGGAGACCTAAACCCTAGCCGCACCTCTCCCTCTCGCCGCCATCCTCCTCCCCGATCGCGATGACGCCAGTGCGCCGGCCGCCGCGCCCTCGGCCCCGTCAACCCTTCCCCTTCCCCTACAACCTGAGGAGCAGGTCCGGTAGGACCCTGGGTTCTACCAATTTGGTATCCAGAGACTCGGGTTCGATCATGTCTTCTTCAACGCCCATGCCGTTGCTGCCCATCGTCCCATCGCGCCATTGACCACCGCCCCGATGTTCACCGCCTCGATGATCACCGTCGGGGGCCCCACGCTGCCGGGCCTGGTCACCACCGTGGGCTCCCCACCGCCGCCGGCCCCCATCACTTCCGCGCCGCCAATGACCGCCGTCTTCACGCCGGAACAGGTCACCAATACCTTGCGGGATCTCGTGACGGCCCTCCAGGGACTCCTTCTGAACCAGTACCACCAGTACATGGCCGGGCCATACGCACCTCCGCCGGCTGCACCGACCGCCGCATACGGCTACCCCACACTGTCGTGACCGTCCCAAGGCGCGCC